TCATAAAAGGTGTACGGAACACACACTGTGCTTGGCAGCTGCTCTGAACATTAATGCTGGCTAGCTGTAGTTCATTTGCACAAGAGAGGCATAACAGGCTTTTTAGAAAGATTTTGGTAGAGATTCAGAGAAAGCATAAGAGATTCAGCCTGCTATCTGATCTGTATTACCATATGCAACAGGGAAGCCCTTAAGCTCCTTACATGAAATCTAAAGATCAAATCTAAGGATCATTCTCGGATGCTTGGAAAGGCCTGCAGGCCAAAGAAGAATGATTCACAGCAGAGTGAATCATTTAGAGCGGTGGTGACAGGGGACAGTGATAGTGGGAAGGTGAAAAGAATGTTCAAATGTACATTACATAAGAAGCTCTTGTCTGTTTTGCCTTATTGTTCTTTTGTTGTGTACTCCACCTTTATTCACTGCTATTTCCTATCATCAGTATCATAATAATCATAATACATGGCATAGAATGTTTACATATGAAAAAGTTTGATAAGGTCTGCAAATTAAGTGGATTATCTACAAAGAACTTCCATGCAAATGAACACATATAACAGATAATGTTTAGACATGAAGGTTTAGGTTTGTTAAGGTTTATTAATATTTGAGGTTTTATAGTTTTAGTTTTATGCATGGTATATATACGTAGCGTAATTAGCATATGAGCAGTGCCATATAACCATGTGATTGACTGACATGCTTTTTGTATGGAAGCCTGTTTCTGACAGATAGGAGAAAAAGGCTGTGGTCCAATCCACATCCTACAGCACTAACTTGTACATGAAAAATAGTGCACTACCATTAGAATGTGCATTTATATGTACTATGTATAGCACAGAAGTGCACCCAAAATGTTTATCATCTGATTCTGAATCAAACTGTAAATCATTTGCTTAAAATATTAACTTAATTTCTTGAGAATTTGACTGATAGGTCAAAATAACAACTAAAAACTAAAGAACAAGTTATTACTCTTTGAGAAAGTTTGTGAATATTTTGACATAATAGGTCATTATTTTAAGAAAATAAGATGTTATTTTGATATAATAAATAAAATCAAGACAATAAGTAATTGGCTTTTTGTTTTACAAAGAAAAAAAATCAAACCATTATATAGACAAAACCTGCTCTTAAGTTTTTTTTTTTGTTTTTTTTTTGGCTTTTAAGGTGTTTTAAGGTTTTGCAAATAAAACACTAATATCAGCAGAGCTGTGGCTCATAAGGAATTTAGTTTAACATGTCTGGTCTAGAGGATGGCTAATACAAATTATCCATCAACAGCAGTCTCTTTACTGTACACCAGCAAGATAGACCTCAAAGTAAAGTGGACAGTGAGTGTTAATCCAATAATGTCCAACATTTTGAAGTACTGTGAGAACTGAAGGAGACAGTAGCTCACTCCACTGAAATGTTCCTGGCCATAAAAGGCTAAAAGCATAAACAGTTATTGGTTGGATCCACCTGGTCCTAGCTTGTGAAAATACATTCTTAGTAGGGGTGGGAATCTCTAGGCACCTCACGTTTCGATTCAATTACGATTCAGAGGGCTGTGATGTGATTATAAAACGATTATCGATGCATCTTGACGCATCTTTTTTTCTATACAGCATTTCTTTTTGTCACTGTGTGACAACTTTGTACTTTTAAAGCAAAGTATTTGTAATAGTACATAATGAATTTACTTCCAATATCTTTTATTAATAAAACAAATGGAAGTGGTTCGGCAAGTAAACTGGAAGACTTTCATTCACTGCTCTTGGTTGAAGCACATGAGATGCAGGCTGCCACTCATCTGCGATGAAATGAGCAGTTACTGTGACATAAATTCTGTGGCAATGGATGTCCACACATCACGTTACAGCTATCCTACCCGTTTAATTCAGTGATTTTTCAGTTTTGGTGTTGTTGAAGAGAGTTGGGGGGGGGGTGTTATGTCAGTAAAATCTTCACGTAACATAACTTTTAATACAGAGGGTGCCGGTTTTCTTGCTCATCCAGTTGTGTTTTTGTTATGTGCCGCCACAGACTGTCCGGGCGCTGCACTTCCGCACTTCCAAGTTCCGCCTTTTACGTTCCGTCAACATTACGTTACAAATTAAAATTTAGAAAATCGATTTTTGACATTTGTGAATCGATTCAGAATCGTCCACATCCGCATCGCGATGCATCTAAGAATCAAGCTTTCCCCCCACCCCTAATTCTTAGGCAGGAAAAATGTATCGTTTGTATGGGTTCTTGTTTTATAAACTTGAACGTACAATAGACTGTTTTGTTAGGGGGAGAAGAGCAAAGACGAGTTTTGTTCTTTAGCCTGACTAACGGCTCAAGGAAGACCAAGTGAGACAAACATTTTGAGTATTTGGGGAAATTCAAAGCTGCTTGCTTGCATGCTTGTTAAAACTCTGGTCTCTGCAACTATCAGGGAAGTTGCCTTGACTTATTACTACTAGATCAGTGGTCACCAGCCCTCCTGTTGGACATGTACTTTCCTGCAGAGTTTACTTCCAACTTGCATAACTTTAATTCATTCATTTTTGTATTTAAAAAAAAAGACATAAAAAAATATGGTTTAGGAATTGGTATTGGAGCCAAGTAGGAGAGTGAGGCACCTGCAAGAAACATAAACTTTGTTGCAGTAGGGGGGCTAGCTGTAATAGTTGCTAAAAAGTCTGGTAAACTGATGCAAAATACAATACGTTCAGTACATTTCTATGTTGTTTAAACCTAAAAGTGCTCACTGGGGTTGAGGTCAGGGCTTTGTGCAGGCCACTGAAGTTCCTCCACTCCAAACATATCAAATCATGTTTTTATGGACCTCACTTTGTACACTTTGGTCTATTTTTCATAGCTCCTATATTTCATATTTTTTGCATTGTGACTTGTTCTAAAAAATATTATCTAGTTGTTTTCCTGTCTGATAATGGGTACACCTGTAATGGCCCTATCTGTCTGTTTCCTGAAGAATGATTACAGTGATTTCAGATTATAGAAAATCATCTGCTACATCCATCTGCTACATGCTCCTCTTCATTACAGTAATCAAGCGCTGTGGCGTCATTGCTCGGCTAGTTAATTTAAAGCTTCTGATGTAACCTCCTCTAAAAAGGAGTAGGTTATTTCTCTGAAAGATGATTTTTAAGATGATTTTACAAGGCTGAGTTTTGGCATGTTATGTAAATGTTGCATGTTACGGATTGCATTAAATTGGCATGACGGTCCTTTTTTTATAGAACCACTGGATTCTTCTGCATGGAGTACTTAAATGCTGTAATATTATTGTGTAACAGTTGTGTACCAGGAAAAGCAGCATAAAACTGTGAAAGGAAAACTAAGATAACAAACAATTCACGATCCATGGCTGGAGCACATGTGCACACATTCACATGCACACACCTGTACAGACAACTGAGTATAGGCAGTCATCAACCTAAATCTAAATCTATAGTTTGCTCACATGTGACACAGTGATAATGAGGTTACAATGAGGTGTCGCTTTAACTAGTAAAGTAATTTACAGCCAAGCCATAGGTAGTATACTGGCAATGGGCCATAAATGTCAAAAAACAAGGAAAAAGCACCTCTATGATAGTGCTAATTTCTGCTAACAACCCTTTGGGATTCTAATTATTGCAGAAGTTGCATAGACTAGTAAACTAGTCATCTAATAAATCCACAATTTGGTGCCGTGGGCAGCAAGACAGTGGCTGAAATATATTAGGGATAAAAAGAGATCAGAACCAGTTTTCTGACTAAAGACAAAGCCTAAAGTACTTTATTAGTGTGGAAATACTACACCAAATTAATTGGATTCCACTGAAATCTGTGTAAGACGGTGCAGAAATACAGGCTTGTAAGCCAGACTAGGTAGGTTTTGAGAACTACTGACCATTTAAGAGACTGTTTAGTGCGACATACACAAAAAAAATTAACTTGGAGTCCCGATCAGCAAATGCACGAGTCCATTATTTTTTTGACTTGTCAACTATTAAAAATGAAAAGTCATGCTACTCCTAGCTGCTGCTGTTGTTTCTAAAAACCAACTGAAACTTGGTTACACTACTACTTGCATTCACAGCCAATAAGTAGAGCTGCTGCAAGTCTTTCTAAAAACTATCTGAAACTTTGTCAGACTACAGCTTCTAGCCACAGTCAGTGAGTTCCATAGGGGCTATATTGATGTACAAAATTGGTTCCACTCATTGGTCTCATTGAAAACATGATTCGTTGATTCCCTTGACACTACCTAATTATGTTGGTAGTAACATGCAAGGCCTTCTGTTTAGCTCCTGAAGTCCCAACCAATCAGAGAGCCTGCTTCTCTGAAGGCCTATAAAACCCTTAGGGTTCTGCCAGTCATTTCAGACAAAAATCAATAGTAATATATGTGTTTCTGGATAAGAAAACTTGATAATCGTCATGGTGAATTGAAAGTGATCTGTCTGAGCTTGTTCTGTGGATAAATTTGATGAGTTACCTCCTTCACTCCTAGTTTTCAACGATCAATGACTTTTTTTAAAGGTTGTTTTATTGCACATTGACAATGTTGCCTGTGTCATCTATGAGGAAAGTATCTAGACATGTGAGCTGTGCTGCTTTTCCTCTTATATCATTTCTTGTGACATCCCCACAGGCTATTTACATTGTAGCTACAGATGAAAACAAGCAGCGTTTTGCCGTAAAGGCATACCTTGCAAAAATCTCAGGCACCTAAGCACACTGATTAAAACCTTTTACCTAGACTGAGAGAAAGTGTGTTTTTGCTTCTTGAGAAAAAAGTAGTTGATATCTTGTGAGCTAATTTCAAGAACAAAGTTTGGTTCTAGATGTCTCTTTGATGCCCCCAGTTATCGTAAGATTTACATTTCATCACCAGCAAACTTACTACAAATAATACTGGACTGAAAAGAGGAGAGGTTTGGAAAAGGTTAAACAAACACAATGATACAGAAAATCACAACTAAGGTCAAATTTGCTAACATCAGAATTTATTCACTTACTAGCACAATCATCCTCATCACTGTCCTCCTTTTCCTCCAAATCTTCTTCTTCATTGAGCTCAGCATCCAAATCTTGCCCTGTGACCTGTTCCAGTGCCATATTGTCACCTGTGCATCTTTGCCTAACACACAAACAAACACACAAACAGCAATTACTGCATGCTGTTCTGTAAAGCTGTATGCCTTGTTGCAACTGAAATCATCTGAAATTAAAGTTTGACTTATTAAGCCAGCACAAGGGACTGTAAACTGTGTGCATTTGAGGTGCAAGGTTTTAATAGGGCAGTGAAATAGAAGAGCAGTCAAGAAGCTCGATATAAGAGAGAAAATGAAAGTTCACTAATGAAGGCATGAAGGTATTAGCAGTGTTAATAAATGAAAACATTCCTACTGGTGTAATTCTACACCAGATGAAAACAAAATACAATGTAGCTTGTGAATAAGAGTGTTAAAATTCAATGTAATCAAAAAATTCAAATAGGTACTGTTACACAGTGGCATCACTTTATATCACTGTATGCAAAATTTCATCACTTTAGACCAATCTGTGCCATTTTCCTTCAGTTGCTGAACACGAATGGCTTAATGAGGCCATGGATAAAACACTTTTTCTAATTTTTTACAATGAATACCAAACACCTTTGACCTGTTTAGTCTGAGGTGAATTTGAAATTACCATTACTTATCTAGGAAATTGATCTCCATAAAGCATCACCAGAGTCAAATTTCAAAAGTGCACTCTGCCAAATATGGCCCTTGTCTGTCATCAAGTGTAGTGCAGGCCAGGGACATGTTATGAAGCAATATGTGATTAACTACTGAGTTGGCTGGCTCTTTAAATAATGGCAAAGATAATAAAGGACTTCAAGAAACAAATCATCAAGACAGACTACACAATGTTATGAAAAACAGACTTAACAATTTAAGGCAACCTAGTGGTTATTGTTGAAACGCATATATTTATTCATTCTATATTGTACAAGCACTTCATCCACTTTCTATGTATAGAAATAGAACAGTATGCAACATGGTGCAACAGGTTACAAATTAAACCCAGCTAACGTGTTCTAAAGTTAACGTAATGGAAGGACTATGTTGAAAGCCGCTGCACGCATGGGAGGTTTGCGAAACACAAACAGTACTCTGACCCAATGAACTGGCCTAGTGACCCAATGAATTGGTGGTTCTTAGTGCAACACTATCAATTATACAGGTAATCGAGTAAACTAACGTAAAATAGTTAGACGATTAGTCAAGCAAATTTTGTGACATTTTTCAGAGTTAAAGGCTTACTGATCATGGCTTTAATAAAACCAGGGGAAAACAAAATTTTATTTTAAAGGTAAGTGTCCCAACATCAACACCAAGGGAAAGAAATGAATGCAGAGCTGTGAGCCCAGAATTAAAGGGTTATTAGCCTAAGAACTCTCCCCAGGCAGCTACAATTTTGCGAACCTACCCATTTCTTTTAAAAGACTGAAGCGAGACATATTAGGAGATAAGCAACGTTTACACAAAGGGTATCAGCAAAATATAAGTTAATTTGTTTGTCTCTAGTTCATTTCATTTCATTCATTGCCTCAAGTTCATTTGTTTCACTGCTGAAAAACATATTATCGCTTGCTCATTTCCTCGATGGAGCTAAGGAGCTAAGAACAAAGTGAAAAACATAGATGTAACAGGCAAACCGCTTTAGCTGATGCATTTAGGCTATAAAATGTCACTATATATCTATACAACTTGGTATCAACGACCGACTTAACTCGCAAAGTCATCGCTACTGAATGAGATTTATGTTTACCTACTGAAAGTATTTAACTCGAGATAGAGCATGAACTTAGCTATGTGGTAAGTAAACCAGCTAAATTAGCTATCTATGGAAAACACGTGGGTAAACAAAGATTTAATTCCACATCATCACTTCATATCCAAACGCTTTTTTCAGCACTGCAAGTCAAAAGCAACTTGAGAGCTAATAGCTCATCTGAACATTTGGACTGCTAAGCATGACTCAATAATGATCTGCGGACACCATGTTCATCAGTCACTAAGCCCATTAATTGACAACATACAATTGATTGCTTTTAGTTTAGTAATCATTTGTGAATAATTAATTATGACAGAACTAGTGATTCTGTTTTAGAATCCACTGGAAAACATTTCCCCTTTAGCTTGTTAATTAAAAACTATTATATATAATGTAACCTATGTTGGACAGAAATATGAAAGAACGCTATTCAAAGTAGGGCTGCACGATAAATCGTAGTTTTTCATTAAGGCAACATGAGTTTCCACGACAAACACACTGCTAAGAGCTGTGAACAGAACAGGTAAAAATGACCTCACACACGCAGTGTCAGAGAGATCACTGCATTACCAGCACAAACCGTTAGAAGCTTAATGAGTGCTTCTCTGGGCTGGGACTGAACCCACATGGGTGAGAGTATCTTAACCAATCCTGAACTACAAGCCTGTTCTCACCCCCAGTAATGTGTTTTAGGTGTGTGAGGCTGTAGTGGCTACTGTCACAACAAACAAATTCAATAACTAATGAAAAATAAATAAATAAATGAGCAAAAACATTAATTTGCTCTTGTGTGCCTATAAAAAGGATAAATATATTTGTTTCAGTAGCCTTTATAGAAAAAGCTGTAGAGGTAATGCTCTCAGCTTTCAGTGTACAAAAGATGTGCTTGCAGTTCTGGTGTAAATATCAGGTAGTATTTCTGCCTCTCATCCAGTTGGGGGTACATTATTTTATTACTTTAGTAATAATTTATTGCTTCTCATTTAGTCATCGTCATATCTAACAGCTTCATCGAACATTGCATTTTATGTCATCACACAGCACTGCATTTCATGTCAACATTGTACTGCCCTAATAAAAGCTGACCATTTTCTAGAAATCATTGGGACACTGAAAAGCCATTTTATCCATAGAAAGTATTCAAACAAAGATATGGAATGTTCTTTGAACTCTGAACTACGGAAAACAGCTGAATGCACAATGGGGGCTAACGGACTAACACGTAAGGTATGTGTCATTCAACAAGGAGGAAGTGGGATGAACTTGCTGACCTTGCTGGAGGGTACTGGGTTCATGCTACACAGTGGAGAGGCAGGGGGGGTGGGGCCCCATCCTAAAGCAGAGCACATAACAGTGTTCAACATGAACTTTCACCCCCACACACCCAAGCCCACTCGCATTATTTGCAGCAAAATATATAAAGCCACAGCTTGATGGACATCCTTAAGAAATGACTGTGTGACAATATACACTGTATTTAAACAAAGGGTGGGTGACCCAAAATAAGTACACACATGGTAATAACAACCTGAGACGCATGCCATGTCCATGTTGGTCTACAATGAAGCTTGGGAATGTCTGCGTGTTGGGGGTGGGGCATGGTGGAGGATAAGAGATCAGTGTTACACTTTTCTCTTTCAACCTAAAAGAGGGAACAGTTTTTTAACTGAGAATTAAACATGAAGAACAAGAAAAACGAAGCGTGACAGAAGCAGAGAGGTGGTAAGGTGACTGAGAGAAGCGAGAGACCTTCTCACCGACAAGTGCAAGAAAAAAATAACACAAAAAAGTGCAGGGAAATGGAAGACAGCAGCTTGTATAAGAGCACAGTTACATAAGAGTTGGCTAATACAGCCATTACCTAGCAGTGAATTTTTGAAAACCATTTTCTTTCCTGTATTTTTGGTCTATTTCTGTTCTGCTCGCTCAAAAATATGTTCAATTTCACTCAGCAACACTAAAGAAAGACCTCACTTGAGTTTTTAACAAGAGGCACACAAAATAAGTATGAAGTAATTATATCATATTACAGTGGTACATTGAAGGGTTGGGTAGCTGATAGGTCACCATCAGCTGCTCTTTTCCCTCGAGCACTTTGATGACCACCTAGAGAGCTTCAAAAGCACAGCTTTTTATTGTAACATTTGCTATGATCTACAAAGAGCTCGGTCAGTTCATCTTCTTTTTCATCTGTTAATGCATTCTTTCTTGTGGAGAGAAGGTCCTTTCGCATCATATGTTCCTCTATTGGTTATGCTTTAATTGACATATCAATTCATAAATGTATTTTATGCTTTGTTTTCTAAAATACAAATAGATAGAAATTATGTGCTATTAACTTGGACTTTAGACGAAAATCCTTTGGTTTTGAGTGACCCTACATCTTAATTATGTTTATTTACTTCAAGTAAATGACTGAACATTCATTTTGTCACTATCCAAACAATCATAATGCTTTACCAAATACTTCAGTACTGACAGTTTTAGGTAACTATGAGCATAACTGAAAAACACTAGCCAGTACATGACTTGTAAAGACAGTTTTGAACAGTTGCACATGCATAAAATCATGATACTTTTCATTACAACACAATTCTTGAAGGTATATATATATATTGCATCTTTAATCAGCATCAGATGCTTCACATAAAAAAAAAAACCTACCTAAAGTAAACGTTGGCTGTTTTTCACAGTCAACACTATGACAAAACAGACTGAGCAAGGCCTGAAATAACTCCACTAATAAGCCTATTTAAAGAAAGCCATTCTTCTTAAATAACTTTCTAGCCTCTGTGAGCAGTGTTGTCCTAGAAACGCCAGCTATTCATAGTCCCCTGAGAATACCTTCCCATAATCCCCACCCACTTTAGTGTTCAACTAACCAATCACAGACACAGTGCTGTCCTAACTCAAGTTCACCACATCCAATCAGGATGTATTTCTGGGCAGAGACTGCAATTGTTATAAAAACTGGTTACCTTGCAGTGATATTGATATCCAATTAAAACTCTGTAGGCGTGGTTTGTACAGGTGCAGCTGCAGTGTAAACACATCTGCAACAATGAAAAATGAAAAAAGTTGTGGATGAGATTCCATGATAAACAACATTATTAAGAGTGTAATGTCAGTCCCTTTTCCATTTAGAAGGTTATATGGTTTTGTTAAGGCTCACAGAAACTCGTTTGTACACACTGCACCTCTGTCGAAATCTAGGTGTATCACATTCAGTCTACATGCTGACTTATTCTGTAGCACACTTTTTGCATTTTTGCACTCTCCACACTCAAAAATAATTTGTTGTATGAGTTTAATTTTGCCAATAAAATACAGTAAGCATACGCTGTAAACTTAAATTAGTTGACTTCACTTTTGAAAATTACACAAACGTATTGCCAAATAATGAAATTATTAACAGGTTCAAGCTTAAATAACGTTCTATATGAATTCTAATAATTATAATAATACTGGTTTCCACTGAGCTGGCAGTACTCTACTATCTCATGATCTGCTTACTCTTGAATCAGTTAGGTAGACTTGAATCCAACATTCGGTCCTGCGTAATGTACATAATAATGAGCCCATTATAGTAAATGGACTATTATAGTAAATGGACTGTGCAGCGATGCATTAATGGCTCAGATATTAATAAATTCACCCATTTCTGAGGACTCTAATAGCTTAATGCATATTGCCATTCTAGCTGCAACTGGTAAACAGCAGCTGTACACAAAATCCCATCCTGGTGAGAATAACAAAAACAGGTAAAATGCCTTTGAACTTTTTATTTAACATGAGAGTACGCCATGACACAAAAATAACATTTTGTAAAGTATAAATTATATTTAGAAATTAAAAAAATAGGAGTTCATTCTTTTATAGAAACCAACGAAGCTGGTAAATCCTGGGAAGCTTTTTGGGGACCTGCCCAATCTTTTTGGGCATCTAAGACTCTCCAGGCTGTAACATTTAATTCAAATTAACTGATCTTAGTAGATCTTAGTAACTAAGGATTATACACGAAATAATAGGTGTTACTAGATCTGTATTAGTAATTTTAACAAATTAGTAAAGTAAACCAAAAAAAGTTACATTAGTGATTAGGTTTTGCTTATTTTCAAGTATACAGGCTTTTTTATCTCACCAAAAATGCAACTGATTTCATGAGATTGGTGCCTAAATGACAGGCTATTTATTTTTTGTAAGAAATCAGTTTTTGGTTCTCCATAGTTTTAATTATGTATTGCTTTTACCCAAAAACAGACTTTCCCACCTCAGGAACCATTTTTTTATTTTTGTGCAAAATGACAGCGAGAATTGTAGCCCTATCACACTGAGCCTGTGATGGAGGAGAATGTGAAAAATGGAATATGTCAGGCTAAACTGATCGCCATGCTATCTGTTATCAAGCTTAGACCCTCTAACATCAGTTAATTATGCACCTTTTTGTAATATAAAATTACATGACTTTTTAATCACTTTTCTGTAATATAGAAAGAACGTTTTCACACTTTGTATGACGGGTTTGCCAGGTTATGCTTATCTGATCCAGTCAAAGCTGGAGAAAACAACAAAATATCAGTGTTAAATTAAAGCTAAATTTACCAGCTTTTGAACATGGTTTCTCTGAAGGCTTAAATAATGTTACTTACTCTTCAACGTGTCACTTAATGTGGCAGTACATTATTTTTATGGCTAAATAAGTTTGTGTGATGGAGCAGAAAGCAAAACTTCAGGACACAGACAAATTCATTAATTTTACTTGAAATGATATACTTTTTTATGCAAAAGTTTGAATGTGAAATACGTGAAAAGTAGTTAATGCAATTTATAAGGAACAAGCTTAAATATGTGCAACTTTTAGTGCACAGTTTATATTTATTTGCTGAGCTTAACATATTCAAAAACATGAAACATAAAATTAAAAATGTGCCATAACTTCGGCACAAGCCAGAGGTTTTATTTTGTTCAAATATGTTAAATTCATCAAATAAACAGTAATTGGGCATTGAAAATGTTCTCTGTAGAGCATGTATACTTTGCTTCACTTAAAAAATCAACAAAATGTGTAATTTGACTGGGGTGCTCAAACTTTTGCATATGACTGTAGGTACTATTAATGTGTCAACAGTTAAAGTGACTTTTATTTAGTGATATTTGAGCTTCAATGACTGTCTATGCACACAAAATATTTTTAAAAAAATCTCTTTTCCACTCGCATTGAAAAATAAAAAAGCAAATAGTGTTAATGATGATCTTTGACTTCATATATTTATGCTTGAAAAACACTTATTAGCACATATCCATCTCTAATAAGTCATCAAATGTTGTCAAATAACCCCATTATTTTGCTTTTTTTTTGAGTGTAGACATCTCTCAGAGCTCCACAGAGGCTTACAGTGCAGATTCTGAAAATCTTTACCCCCTCAGTAAGCCAAAAGCGGTGACTTGGATTAACCCTGTGTGTTAGTGTCTGGTGCAGGTCAAGCATGCTGAAGCACTGTGTAACTCTTTGATAATGATACTCAACTCACATGCTCAACTGAGCAACACGTACCAACAAAGAGGCACCAGAGTCACCGAGGTCCTGAGGTTAACGTGTTGACACAGGGTCATTAAGGGCACGGGGGTGAAAAGGTCCAAGGTATGACTCAGTCAAAGAAATACTCCAGTGTTTTTCAGCCTAATCTCTATATGTGGTGTCTGTAAAATATGATCAATTACCACAGACAGTTCCCAGCACAGAAAACAGTACTTTAAAAACGTGCTATAATCAGAACAAAATTATAATAGAAGTCAATGGGAAGATGTTTTAGCACCTGCACACTGGCTTCTCTTATTAGTGTGTTTCAAGTCAACAAGTTTTCTGAAGTCTTATCTGTGTAGTCACCATGACGACTCCCGTTAGGACTGAATTTAGGACAGTATAACAGTTCCTAACATCATAATCTCATCCAAATTCCAGAAATTAAATAAAATATTTTTGAAGAAGCATTCTACCTAGATCAACTTTCATAAACACTGTCTTAACTTTAGGACAACCACTCCTAACTTCTGTTTTAACCCTCTGTTCTATTGGTTTCAGGCATAACAAGTTCACTATAACAGCATAGTGATATTACATTGCAAAAGGATTGTGGTTAATTTTTTCGCGTGTTACGTTTCAGTCTCAGTGCACACATAAACCACAGAGCTCAGAAGTTTCAGCACACAGGAATAAAAAGTAACTAGCTTTAGTAAAGTAGCTTTAGTAAAGCAAGGAGTGCAGAGCCAAAACATTTCAATATGTGCTTTTAACAGTTGTTTGGAAAAAAGAAATGAAAAAGTTTGGTTGGTTTTTAATGTCATTCATTACATTAGGAATAATGTGACATGGCAGGCATTTACAAGTAGTTTTTCCATAGTAAATAAGTTACAGCCATGCTAGTGCCAAAAATAAGATAAGCTTTTCACAGCCGCGCACACAGACACCCAAACACAGCACAGAGTCAGTCTTAATACATGGGAGTAGGCGCTTCATTATAATAATCTCCTAATAGGGGCTGTCTTTACCGAAGGCAAAGGTAATCAGCTGCTAAGGGCCCCCATAAAAATACAAACCAAAAAAACAATATGTGTTGATAGTACATAACCTATTCCAATATATATACACATTTTAAAATTAGCTGTTATTTGCAATTGTAACAATTATTTTCAGTAATTTTAATACAGATCTGAAAAGGGGTCTGTAGAGACGCTGCCATTGTAGCTGGGCTCCGTAATCTTCCTCAGAGGAATTGCATGTGAATCTTCAAACCAAACAACACAGTGCATTATGGGTATGCTCTATCCCCCAGGGTACATCAGCTGTATACTACTTACTGTGATGCATTGTGGAACTGTTTGAGTGCATTGGATCTTCAGCACTATATATTTGGACACCACTATAAATGGCGGAACCCTAAAATACTGCACTATATAGTGAATTGAGCGGGTTCAGACACAGCTTTTGCTTGTTCAGTCAGAACAGAGGGCTGCACAGGCTCAGCAGACTGTATGATGCTATTTTAAAATAAGACTACCTTTGTAAGTGTTTATGAACGGTTTAGAAACAGTTTGTTAATTGTTATTAGTTTTAATAAGGAGTTATAACACATTAATAAAAAGGGCAAAATTGACCTGTTACATCTGATGAATATGAATATGTGATAAAGCTGACAGATTTAATGTTAACTGATTAAGAAGACAAAGCATGATCAGTAAACAACAAAATCTAAAGCTTAACTGTATGAATGAATTTGGGTTCACTATTAGGCAAACAAATAGTCTTTTAGTTAGGTCTTTAAGACCTAACTAACAAGCATTAATAAACTTATTTTAAACCATTCACGAAGGCTTTATAAGGGTAGTCGTAGTTTAAAGTGGTACGGACTGTATATAATGCTACTGCTATTATAAATATAGACAGCTCTAGTGTTGGGGTCATTACTCACAGAAATTCATCCATTACAAGTTACTTGAATAGCTAATTACTTTCCTCTAAATAGACTGCAGTTATGTTGTCCATTACGTCCTGTAAAAGAGGTGACTAAGTGGCAAGGCGAAACCGAAGATCACGCACCCATTTATTTGGGGGCAGTCGTGAACTAGAGGTTAGGGAACCAGATCTGTGACTGGAAGGTCGCCGGTTCCATGCCCTGATCTGACAAGACATGACTGAAGTGCCCTTGAGCAAGGCACCTAACCCCCAACTGCTCCCTGGGCACTGTGGATAGGGCTGCCCACCACTCTGGGCAAGTGTGCTCACTGCCCCCTAGTGTGTGTGCATTCTTTAGTGTGTATGTGGGTGTTTCACTGCACTAATGGGTTAAATGCCAAGGTGAATTTCCCCGTTGTGGGATTAATAAAGGGTAACTTAACTTAATCTCACAACTATTTACTTCAGCCTACCTTATTGTGTACCAAATTATGTCACTACATTGGCAGATCATTTTGCTTGTTTCAAGCATATTTATTAATACAAGCAAACTGTTTGACCAATATAGTGAGAATTTCACTTAATATAGTTACTCAAGTAAAAAAAAGTCTAGAAATAAGTTTGAGTGGGAGACTCCTATACATATCACTGTCAGAACAAAACCTTGTATCTCCAAAAGCTAACTTTACCAGAGAAAGAAAAACATTACTATTTTCTATCTGTCTGTTTATCAAGAATGCAAAGGATTACTGGACTTTTCCAATTATGCGACAAAGCCAAAAACAACAAAAATGGAGATACAAGGTTTTTGCATTGACAGCCACAATACGCAAAGAGACAAAGCACAAGAGAGCAGCAACCA